CAATCCCATGGAGTCACCAGAGCATCCAGTGTGAAGGCCGGCTATCCCTGGTTCTGGTAACAAATTTTTCCAATTTGTTGTTGAATTTAGGTCTATGTCCGTTGTCCACCACCAACAGAGCATGTGAAACACCTCTGGGTGGAGAGACCATTCCATAAGATCCAAACATTGACCACTGAGAAAGTCTGCCTGTCAACTTTCTATGCCTGGAATGTGGATGGTGGACAGAGCCAGAACATGACATTTTGCCAGGTCAGGCCCACTTCCTTCTGAGCTGCGTGACCTCTGGTGTCCCTTGATGATTGACAACAGCAAAAAGTTTCCCAGCACATTCATCAGCCAGCATGCAAAAAAACTTGCCTCACCGCTAAGGTTCAAAACGAAGGTTTGGATACACGTCTTCTGCAGAAAATGTGAAAGCCGCGCCAAGGCACATCTATATAGTGCAGTCCTAACTCTAAACTATGAGAGTTAGTTTTTTTGCATGCTGGCTGGTGAATGTGCTGGGAAACTTGTTGCTGTTGTACTGTATTAAGCCCTTCCATGTGCACCTTGCTGTAAAGCTAGTAACAAATTGATGAGTGGGTTTGCCATTTGTTTTGCTTGACTGATTTGGTGCAGTGACGCCAAATCAGGTGGGGGCCTCAACTGCGGACTGCCTCAACTTGTGATGTGCGGGGTCCCTTGTGTGTCCCTGTGCCTTTAAGGGAGGTTGGGCTTCCTCCTGACAAACCTGCACCCAATTTGATCTTTTGCCAAATGTGCTCCAAGATGGAAACTTTCATAGTTTAGAGTTAGAACCGCACTATATAGAGGTGCCTTGGCGCGGCTTTCACATTTTCTGCAGAAGACGTTTATCTAAACCTCTGTTTATAATCTTAGCGGTGAGACAAGTTTTTTTGCATGCTGGCTGGAGAGTGTGCTGGGAAACATGTTGCTGCTGTACTGTATTAAGCCGTTCCATGTGCACCTTTCTGTAAAGCTGGTAACAAATTGATGAGTGCGTTTGCCATTTGTTTTGCCCTTGATGATTGAAGTACGCCACCACCATGGCATTGTCTGACTAAGTCCTAGTTTGTTGGCCCTACAAACGAGAGGTCCAGTTCTGAAAGGACAACTGAATTGCTCTAAGCTCCATGTTTTGGTTGGGAACAGAAACTCCTACAGCGACCAAGACCTCTGAACTGACAGAGAATCCAAAATTCCTTCCAATCCCAAGAAATGTTTAAAAAAAAATAGAGTAAGTAGTCTTAGTATAGAGAAACACATCCATCACCTATGGACACTAGCAAAAAACTGAGGCAAGCTGGGAGTGGAAGATGTTATGCAGGGCTATCCTTACAGCTTTACTTTGCCAGTGTGCAATCACAGTAGGTAGCAGTGGAACTCAGAATTAATAGCTAGTTTAATAATTAACAAGCCTGTGTCCAGTGATGTATGATAAAGAAAGGGGAGTTTGTGTTTTCACAATATTGACCAGCTTGCAGTTAAATTTGAAAGAAAATCAACAATTACTTTTCACTTCATCTTCTCTCATAGAAAGACACTGAAGTAATTTTGTAGCTAATGTTTTGTTAGTTTTGTTTTGCTAATTTAATTAAAGAACTATTAAGAAAAAATAAAAATTGAACTGAATGTAAAATCTATTTCTTGAAGTCCATTAACCAGTTGACATCCGCGGTGTTAAACCCCCTATATAATAGCAAAGGCACACTGACAGGTCCTCTTTATGGAGATATTAGGGGTCTAATATCACCTATGGAGATATTAGGACCCCTAATATCACCTATGGACCCCAAAAGAAGCTGATAAAGCAGAGATGTGCCGCGAACGAGCACATATAGGCGATCGGCGGGCTATGGACCCGCTGATCGCCTATATGTGTGACACCCGGTACCGGGTGTTCGCATTGGACGGGTCTTTTCTGCCCGTGCGTGCCCGCTAGGGGGCGCGCGCGAGCAGAAAAAAATTGCCGTCTGGAGACGGCAACCCGCAGATGCTGCAGTGCCGTCCGTCCGTTTTTTTACTACGGGCGGACGGCAAGAGGTTAAGGACACAGGAATTCAGAAACAGTTGGGAAATTCATAAGCAATCCAACCTAGGGGTGGGCAACAGCCACTGACAGGCCCATAAGAAAAGTCTGGAAACCATCTGCAAATCAAGACGGCCTAAAGGACCAAAGAAACCACCACTAAGGGGAATGACTACACTCGAAGGCCCACAAGAGAAGACCAGCTAGGCTGGTCAACATGTGAAGGCCCAAGCCTTACACTCCCAACCATTCATGGAGAAGATTGTTGCCTGGCCAGGCAACCAGTTCTTGCAACAAGACATCCAACAGAATGTGAGAATCTTCACAGCATATTATCCCATAAGGATAGATAAGTAACCGCTGACATTGCTGTAGATACTCAAGGGTACCATCCATGATGTCTGCAAAATGAAAAAGGGGTGCATGTGAGGCACTACAAGGGTAGGCAGAGATAGGGGGTCTGTTGTCTCTGAGAACTACAGAAGATGATCCTAAGAATTTTCTGACTTGCCCCTATGAAAGGATTCTGAGTGCAAGGATCCAAAACGCTGACCCTCTTCAAGGGAGGTTTTCTGAGCAACCCACAATGTCAAAAAAGGGCACTAGGGTAGCCACAAGGATTAAAACTTGGAGAATTAATAGATGCCTCAGAAGGACACTGTTCATGTTAAGGTAGGGAACAGCCAGAACTGTTCCTGATCAACCTTGTGGGCCAGAGAATCCCTCTGTAGAAGAGGGATGCTGGGGGGCACCAGGTACTGGAAGGGATTCAGCAGAACCCAAGGATATAGGATTTTCATTAGAAAGGGAGTGAGAGTCTGGATGGGATACAACTCCGGAATTAAAATTTCCATTTGAACAGCTCAAAGGGTCCTAGGATGCGGGGAACTCAGACCTAGTAAGTTACATTGCTTTGTGTAGTAGCACAAGAAAGACAGTTATGGGCAACTGAAGGAGGTGCCAGGTACAAGAGGTTAGCCTTTGGGCTGAAAGGGGCATCCTGGGCTTCTTCAGTTAATTTACCCATTTTGACACAGTTAGGGGATGCCAGATTAAAGTTACTATTAACATTGGACAGAGGGCCAGAGCAATCAATTTGACCTGGGATTTAATGAGGGAATCTAGCTGCATGTCAGTGAAATTCTGAAAGGTAAGCATACCCTCAACCAGTCTAATGGTATTCCTGTTAAGGTGGCTTACCTTTCTTGGGAACAGACAACTGATTTACAAATTCCCTCTCAAAAGGGAATGTAAAGCACAGCATATTATTTTTTATTTTTTTTATAAATCTGGGTCACTAGAGCCGATGATGTTTTCTGAGTGGATGGAAGTGACCAGGTCACTGTAGACAGGCAATGGAAACATGCCATAAACCTTGACCTTGTGGTGCTTCAGAAGCAAGAGAAGCAGAAAGAGAGTGCAGCTGCACCCAGTGACTGATGTCATTGCTCAGTCAGTCGTTTCAAAATTATTTTTTTATTTGTTATACCTCTTCTTTAATCCACTGTAATCCAGAGATGTTTTTTTTTTTTAAATCTAAAAACTGAGCTTTTTGGCTAAAATCACCAGAGGTATATGGGTGGACATGTGAAGAAAAACAATATTGTGCCAACAGTTTAGCATGGTTGTAAATCTATTATGCTTTGGAGTTGTGTGACGGCCACTGGCAAAGGAGATCTTGTGCAGTTAGAGGAAAATGGATTAAACTAAGAAATGAAAAAATCCTGGAAGCTCTGACACAGTCTGTAAATGAAGATAAAAAGTTGGATATGCCAACACTTGAAAATATCTAAAATCAGCCAATAACTGTTAAAAAAGCAAATGATTAACATTTTGGAACAGCCTTTACTTTCTTCAAGCTTTATTATTAGATCTTGTACATACTTGTACTATGGCCTCCCTGAAAACAAAATGTGCTGCAACAATTATAAGTGCATTTGCACTTACAGCTACTCTTAGTTCCCTGCAAAGTCTCACAAATACCTGTTGAGCCTGCCAGTGAAGTTCATCCATTGTAACTTCCTGGGATGGTGTGGCAACAGTGCTGCACTGCTCCTGAGATCAGAGCAGAGCTGTACTACAATGGGATAAGAAGATGTGTCATGGGGTGTGGCTATCAATATTATCACTGCTAATTCACAAGCCTGTTGCTTGTCAAACCTCACCTGACCACACCTAGTCCTGCCCACTGATTTCTGGATTGACTGCATTGCTTCAACACTGAAACCAAAAAGCAAGAATACAAAGAATGTTGGCTGGCTATAATAAACAGTTGGTGGTTAAGGCTTCTGCCAAAGGATGACGCAAATCATTTCATATTGTATGCCTTTCAGCCTGTGAAATTCAGAATGTAATGTTTCCCCGTTTTGTATTTACTTTCCATTTCAAAAATATACAAAAAACATACAATTTTAACAGTGGTGTCATTTCTTTTCAGCATAATTATGGAACTATGAGGATGTTAGTTGTTTGTCAGTGTACTGCCAAAATCCATGTAAACATATATGTGTGGAATATATATTTTAATACAATTGTACAACAAAACTGAGGCATGGGTGACAAAGGAAGAGACAAAGCAGTTGTGAACCCCTGCGTTTCCTATGGGTTTCACTTTTCTTGCAGTATGTTTCTTAGTGCCCGCAGTGGTCTGTAAGTACAACCAAAGTATTAATAAGATTTGCATTGCTGATTTCACTGTTATGGTGTTCTTCAAGGAAGACTTGGTCTCATTAAATGCTGTCATGAGGAGTACTGCTGCAGAAGTATATTCCAAGTGCTTGCTTTCCTCTCAGAACTTATGACAAATCTCACAACTGACCATCAGACATGTGCAAAAACTTTTTCCTTTTCATTACAGACCATTAACAGCTCTTAAATATTGTTTTAACGGTGGTGTTCAAAAGATGATATCTGTAACAAGCATAATAATGACACCTTTATAAAAAATATATATATTTCTGTCTAACTTTTTGGCTACCTCAAACACCTAATTTTCTTCTTTTTCCAGCGTTTATTGTCCACATCCTCTGCAAAATCTGGAGGATCTGGGATCACAAAACCATCTGTCAGTTTGTAGTAAACAATAGTTGAATCAGATTCCACAATGCCTAGAAGCATTGAATATGTTGCCATTTCATCTTCTGCTGTGTGGCTGAGTTTCAGATATTGCTGAATTCTGTAAAAACAAAATTGAAGGATAATTAATAAACAGAAAATAGATATAAAAAATTATATGAAAACCTATATAACAATATATAATTAAATATATAAAAATTATATAAAAGATGTTAATACTTTGCAAATATCTGTTAGCACTTATCTGCTTAGAAATGACTTAAGAATTAGGTCAATGTTTTATCACAGACATAACTATGAAATTCAGTCAGTTTAATTGAAAGTCACATTACTTTGACGCTGGGCAAGTTATTTTATCTCCATATACTTGTGCTTCTGTTTAATAGGGATGTGGTAGCGATTGTCAAACAATTTAAGTAAAACAAAAGAGTAAACAAAGGAAAATCGACAAATTAAAAAAAAGATAGCGCACATGTATCTATTATTTTATCATAAAAGCATCTAAATAAAAAAAGCTTCATCTGGAAATAGATTATTTACTGTGCTCCACACGAGAGTCTCACAGATATAAAACCAAACTAATCTGTAGCGCAATCATTTTAAAAAAATGGACACTCTTATATATGACACCATTATATATGCTTTTCTGCACACAGAATGTAGAGAGAGAGTGCACATTTTGTCTGAGCCTGCCTTAAAGCCCAGTGCAAATTGATGTTTTCCCTCTTGGTCCATGTGAAAAAGTATTTAGTATGACCAAAACACATATTTTCCTTTTAAAAATGTCTATGTTATGTCCCTCTCTGCTGCGCTTGACGGGAACTTCCAAAGGACTTGCACTGTGCATTTGTGTTAAAATTATGCTTTGGGACTACATATGACATAATTCTTTGACCACATTGTGCATTTGCGCCCCACACCCAAGCAGGCATAATGTTGAGGACCCCAGCCACACTGCGACTGTGTGCCAGCAACTTCAAATAAACACTTTGGTCAGGAGTATATAGTTATTATTGGCATATAGAGTGCAGGGATCAGGAGTATATAATGTATAGAATGCAGTGGTCTAGAGCCCCATCCACCAATCCTTTACTACTGTACACCTTTACACCCTCTCCTCACAACGGCAAACAGTGTAGCCCCCTGCCCCCCTTACAAACAATGAACTCTCTGCCCCCCCTCTCTACACACACAAAAACTGCCCCCCCTGCACCCCTTCTCACACATAAAACAATGCATCCCTTGCCCCCATACAAAAACGAACCCGTTGCTCCCCTCCCCACATTCACAAACAATGCAACACTCTGCCCCCTAGACACGCATTAAACAATAAAGCACTTCGTTCCCCTGCTTATAGCGACCCTAAAAGATGCTGGCAGCCGGAGGTGGGCATAGTCACATGCTAAGAACGAACAGGAAGTGTCCATGTATTTATCTATGTTTCTGCCAGTGAGCAATGCATACGGCTGTAGACAATAATATAGCAAGCAGTTCTGACACCCCAGAGGTGGTCCCCAAATGGCAGTCGCTGTGTAGGATAACGTAGCACCTAGCAAGAGATGTGGGGCACATCCCCCGGATCCCCAGACTTAGAGGCACCCATCTTGTATACAAAAATTGCTTTCTGTTCTACTACTGCTAATATCTTACATTTAGACCTGCAGATAACAATTATTTTCAAAATCGATTAATTATTAAGTTCGATTAATGGGATAAAAATAAAATACATTTTAAAAAATGGCTCCAGTGATGGTACTACTAGTTTGTATTGAGATTGTAGTCCATCACAGGAGCAAGCTTGGAGCGGTGGAAGTAAAAAAGAAAAAAAAAAGTGTGGTGTGCAATATAGTGAAATGGAAAGTGTAACATTATACAGCAATGAATGCAGAATGGCATAGTCTATAGAGGAATGCAACAAATCCTAGCAATAATACATTATAGCTGGTGGTATTTTGCATTGCGCTGTATAATGTACGATTGCTGGGTTTTGTAGTCCTCTATAGCTACTGGTATTCCGCATTGCACCACTGTATAATGTATTATTGCTGAGATTTGTAGTCCTCTATACAGCGCAATGCAGAATACCACCAGCTATATAGGAATACAACAAATCCCAGCAATACATTATACATACAGTGTATAATGTATTGCTGGGATTTGTGCCATGTGTGGGAAAGTGCAGGCTTACCTAAGCAGTCTTCCAGCAACTTGCTTCTGAGATCAGGCCTGTGTATCGGCGGCTGTCATCCCCCCACACCTGCTCCTCCTTACTTCTTCTACCCATGTCCCTGTGCCGATCGTGGATGTGGACAGGCGGGGAGGAGGTGCGGCGTGTGGAGCATG